TTTGGTTTAGGTTTTAATGTAATTATACAAGTAGATTTATCTGTTCTTTATGAATTATGCCGGCGACGTACCCAACTTCTGACAGAGCAGTTAATTAAATTTTGGCGCTTCTTTTGCTTCGTACGACATTCTAATGCTTTTATAGCTTTTTTTATTGTTTAACATAATTCGCTAGGCGTTTTTAAAGCTTTATCGGCGGAGTTTGTACATCTTCGTTAACTTTTCCCGCATTTTTCTCTTTTCATATGGATAATTTGCGTGGTTTTTTCGATATTTTTCGTAGTAAGCAGCGGCTTTTCGTTGGGTACGTCTCCGATGGTGATTCACGAGGTGTCATTACTCAATGGTGTCATTATCATGTCCATTTTATGCTGATCGGTGCCGAGGGTTGAGACCCAGAAAAAGTCATGCTTTATGTGTCATTATTCAAGGGCTATAAATCTTTCTGCAGTGAAAAATTTTTTTTTGTACCGTGACTTTTTGACATGTTCCGCCAAAGTGCTTACATTTTTCAACATTTCTGTTCCTCTCTCACCATGATTTTTTCAACTTGAAAAAAATAAAGTTGCTACCAATTTGAAGCGAAAAACCCTCAGTCATATCTACAAATTTTTTTACTCACTGCTCATTATGGTCTGTGTATATTTTCCTTCCTCATGTAATTACTGTTTTTTGATTGCTAGCCAGGTTATTGCCTACTGTTGTGATTTTGATAAAACTTTGCCTAGTTTATCGGATATTACTATCACATTTTCCAGGCTTTCACCGACGCGGGTTCTTCACCGGGAATCTACGAGTTGGTTGGGCAACCTCAAGATATATAACTTCTTTCAGATTGTACTACCCTCTGCAGAATATTGTCTTTTTCATTGCTACTCTCTGCTTCGTTTGATAATTGATGCTTTTCTTCTTTTTCATTTCACTGTTACAGTTATGGTTGGATTTTAATGTAATAAAGGTAAATGGAGGTTAATACTTAACTTGTCGGCGGAGTGGTCTCGAAAGCCTTTCCCACGGGTTTTCCACGATTCAATACTGGTACACTCAAAAATGACCCGTTGCTTCCGGCCCCCACAAACCGGGAGCGAGTTGCTCCCGGTTGGACTCGTCCGTCTTGAGTTGCATACTTCCAGTTTGTACCCATCGACTGTTCGATACATGTGCATCGCCATTTCGAAAGTCACTTCTGCTGGTCATTTACCTTGTATTAATCGCGAACACGGAATTCTACCAACTGAGAATAAAGCAAGCAGCGTGCTTCGTTAGCCGAATTTTACTTTCTTACATAGTCTCAGCGGTAATGCATGATTACCCTTTGTTGTCCCTGTCTGTCAGAATATTAATAGGAATGAAGAAATGCGTTATGTCTGTTGCCCAATTCCCATAAATTTCCTAGCGCAGCATTTAGTTCGACGCTATTAAATGCTTTTCCGTAATCGAAGAATCAGAAACAGAAAAGGAGCTATAAAGTTTCCGTATATAGGAAGTTGGCTAAAGACAAAAATGTGCTCTAATGCGTTGTAAATGCTTCACAACCTAGTTTGTTCTCTCGGCTGCTCTTCATCGAGAATTCCTGTTAATCAGAAACAATTTTCATGAGCAAACCGTAAAAGTGAAAGAGCGAGCAAATCAGGCTACATTTTTACAACTTTTTTTATTATCCTTGTGCAGCAAAACAGTCATTCTAGCATTTGTCCATCCCCTCAGAGCTTCGCGAAAACACACTTAGGTTTGCAAGATTGTCACGTTACGATATACACATAAAAACTTTTTTCCATCCTCAAAGTATTCTGCCTCCTTAGTTTACGGTGGCGTAAGTTGTTTTCCAAAATCAAGGACCAGTATTGGATTGAATTCGGAGCTGTGGGGACAGTTTTGGTGAGGTGGCGGTTCTTCATTTGTCTGGATTGTAAATGTGTCACTCCGAGAGGAACGAAGGGAGGGAGGCGACAGTTGGCATTGGGAGGCACGGAGAGTTCATAGATCGGCAAAGCAATGGTGACGATACGGCCATGTGTCTTCGTACGCCCGGCTTATTTTTTAGTCTGCACGGCTTCCGGTTCGGTCGTTTCAAGTATCACTCTCGGGGAAAAATAATGGCTGCTGCAGATGTGGTTGCTCAAATCGAACAGGGCTATAAGAAGCTTCAGGTTCGTTTTGAAGTTCTGCTGAGAAAAGTTTGATGCTTCATTTCGTGCACTCGTCTCAACCATCGCCTTCAGATTAATTCTCTTGTAGCGCAGCTTAAAAAAAGAAGTTGACGATCGCACTGCAGCGGTACAGACTGAGAAATCTATCGGGCATAAGACTTATTTACAGTCTGTACCAGACACAAAGATGTGAGCTAAAGATTTCAAACAAGCGATAGAGACATTCAGAAGTAAGATGTTAAAAGGGGAATGAATGTCGCAGTAAGTCAATTAAATTTAGCTAATGCTGCACCAGATCAAGAACGAAATTTTAAACTGTACTGGGGGTGGAAAACTGAGTCAGTAAGATACTGAAATTTGATCAACAAACTGAATGCGAGTGGAAGGGCAAAATTTTTCCCGACATAATATTAATTATACATTTTTGCATAATATGCAAAAACACGTATTGTGACGACCCCGGTGTGTGTGTGTGCGTCTGTCCGCGTGTCTTAACTCGGCACCCAAGCAAGCTCCGGCGCCAAAATTTTGCGAGTGGGTTCCCTGGCCAAGTGCCACCCCAGGAACGCGGTACCAACCCTCAAGCACGTCTAGGCCCCGCGTACGAGCGCCTGAATGTTTTGGCAGGAAAATCGCTAACATGGAAACCAGAAAAGCTAGAAAGCTGAAACTTTGAGATTATGTTTCCAATCCAAGTAGAACTCAACGATTTCAAATTCAGCCCCCGGGGGTTCGTGGTTCCCGCGTACGGCCCCGTGAGGGTTCCTGGCGCGAAAATCGCTAACTCGGGAACCAAGAAAGCTGGGAGGCTGAAACTTTCAGGACAACTCACCTACAACTTAAATTTATTAAATTCAGCCCCCGCTGTGCGTGGTTGCCACGTACGGCCCCATGAAAGTTTTTGGCGCGAAAATGGCTAACTTCGGAACCAGGGGAGCTGGGAGGCTGAAACTTTCAGGGAATGTTCCTAACTCGTCTACAACTTAAATTTATCAAATTCAGCCCCCCGTTATGCGTGTTTGTCATGTGCGGCCGCGTGAAATTTTATAGCTGGAATTTGGGTAACTCGGGAACTGAGAAAGCTGGGAGCCTGGGATTTCGAGGGGATTTTCCCTGTTCAAGTATAGCCTAGATAATTAGCTTCCCGAAATTCGAGGACCAATATGTACAAGAGGTTTCTAGCTGGCGAAATTTCGAGTGATCTTATTACAGCATTAAACACAGCAAAAACGCATGATCGCACGGAGCCCGCCCAGTGCGTATCGCCAGTGATTTCTCCTATTCAAGCATGTGTACCAGAAATGTGGTAACGATTTTTGTGTATTTTGCATAAATGATGAATACAAAAATATATTGACGAGAGGTCGATGGGTGTGTGTGTCTGTCAGTATTTATGCATGATTGTGCGTATAGCTTGTTCTCGTTTTTATCAGCCATTTTCTTTTTTTGTGGTTTTTTAATGGCTTAATTTTCAGTTATTGAAATTAGTTGAATTTGTGAACGTGGTGTATACATCTAACAAAACGGAATATGCCTTATAGTATACGTGTCACTGAGACTTGCATTTAATCATTATGCGAATGAATTACTTCAAAAACTTCAGGAGGCGAGCGATTGCCATTCATTGTTGAAGAAACATTTGAGTAAAGAAGTGGTCGACGAGCTAAAGAACAAAAAGACGAAACTTGGTGCCACACTTCTGGATGTAATCCAGTCCGGTCGGTTGTCAATGTTTTGATTATTTTTCAAATTTCTCAACTGCAGTAAGTTAGCTTGGAAGACAGGTCCAGCATCTGTAAAT